TCCCCCTGCAGAGGAGTGAGCAAGCGGCTGTGTGGGGCTTAGTTGCTGGCTGGGGTTAAAGCACAACAGTGAACTATGAATCCATTGTTTCTGGTTGCCCAGCCTCTGAGGTATGGTGTGTGATATGTGGCATGGGGGGGGTGGCATCGCTGGCCACATGGAGCATTAAGAGTGGGTAACTAAGCAGTAGTTAGGACTGTAGCTACTGAGTGCTCTGTGCAGGAGTCATGCCAAGCCTATTGCTCCTCTAGCAGCTGTGCACTGCACCAACAATCCTGGGCTGTCTCCAGGAAGGCTCGCAGAGCCATCTTCTGCCTCCAAGAGCTGCTCTGATCATCTTGGGTAGGCAGAGCACTCCTGTCCGGCTGTTCTCCCAGCAGGGAGGAATGAGAAGTGGAGCGGGGCTGTGCAGAGGTGCTCAGCCCCTCAGAGGCCACAGGGACCCTACAGGAGTCAAGAGGAAGATGAGAGCACCCCTTGAAACGAGAGCAGGAGGGACATCGGACCCCAGAGATCCTCCTGGAGATGGTGAGAGGTAGGAATGGGCAAGGGCTTGGGGAGGGCCATGTGAGGCAGGATGTGGGGAGGAGGGGGCCAGGAGCAAGAGTGGGGTTTGTGGGAGAGGCAGGGTAGGGGCAAGAGGATCAAGGAGGTTGAATGATTTGGGAACAGAGTATGCATAAAATTTGGAGGGGAGTGAGGCCAGAGCAGGTGCTGGTGGAGAGCCAGGAGAGAACAGAGCACAAGAAAAGCATAGTGGGAGTTGAATGAGGCCTTTGCTGATGAGCAGTGGTCACGTTATGCTGGAGGAGCTGCTCTAAAGCCGCATAAAATCTCCCAGAAGAGTGTGCTTGGGGCTGGGTGCTGTTGGCTACCCCCTCTGTCTTGGGACCCTGGGCAGGGATGCTCTGGGGTGGGAGGCAAGTGTGTGTGGGCCGGGCCTTGTGCCCACTCTGGGACCTTGGGAGCCCAGCAAATACGCGGGCAGGGTTTGAGAGTAGGGCTTGAAAAAAATCACAGCCTCATCTATTTTAAGGTGGGAAGAGGTGGCTTTGATCATTTACTCAGACCTGCTATAATACAGGCCATGGCAGAGTCCAGTGAGATGTGGCTGAGCTTTGCCTGTCTTTTAGAAAGGCAGACAGTATATTTGAAAGTCTTCCCTGGTTAGTTTTTCTAACAGTTTCAAAATCTGCTTTATTTCTATACTCAGTTTTTGAGTTTTATTTTCTGTTCCCTAAGCCTGCTTATGCTTTCACCTTTCCCAGTTAAGCCATGCTGTCAGATATTTTCTCCTTGCTTCAGTATTTATGTGCACTGTGATCAAGTTGTCTCTTTAACTTCCTTCAATAAACTTAATAGACTGAGACTTGTTTCCATGCCTTTTCAATTCCTTCCCCAGCTGGAGGAGGGAAGGTGAGTGTCTGGCTCCTGGCCTTCCTCCAGCAAGCTGTTCCCACCCACCTTCCTTCCACAGTCGTGTTTTCGTTGCAGTGCTGGGAAGGTGACTGAGACCTCTTGCTTCTCCTCACTCAAGTCCTGATGCTGTCAGAGGAGAACCCGCTCCTGTTACTCTCCTTGCTAAAAAGAAATTATGAGGTGCTTTTGTATGCCCAGGCCAGCTCCTGGCTCGTGGTGATGCACCAGTGTGTATTGGCTGTTGCAAAGCTGCCTCAGGAACCTGCATTTCTGAAAAGTTGCAAAAGTGTAGCACTGATTGATCCTCGGGTAAGGTGAGAAGTGAGAGCAGTTTTCAGAACAGTGCACCTGGTTCCTAGGAACTCAGATCAGCCCTGCGGGCTGTGCCTAGCTGAGGAATAGAGCAGTAATCCTTTGGTCTCCACAGACCTGTATCACAGAGGGGTAAAGTGAGATGCGGTGGTGTGCCCGGGGCCACACAACGAATCTGTGGCAGAATCAGGGTTAGAAACGAGGAATCTTAAGTTCCCGATTCAAACATGGCTTTCATATACCTGGTGAGTGTTTCCCATCTTCAATTCGAAGATGGCAATTCAATGTAAAGAGTCTTGTGTCCTGCTTACTCTTTGTTCCACACTGTTCATACATTGCTGAGGGAGAGCTGCAAACCCGTTGAAGTGTGTGTTGTCAACAGCATGTTTAGCTCAGTGAGCTGATCTGGGGTGTCTGCCCAAGGACTTGCTGAGATTCTGGATGGGTGTAAATACCTACCCGCAGATAGCCTCTAGCAGGCTCAGAGCTCAATAGACTACCCGGGCAAATAGCGAGCCTCATCACAGATGAATTAAAAGAAGTGCA